ACAGCTCCAGAACAAACAGACCATGGGAGAACAACCATTTTGTAAACAGCATCAGTAAATGCTTTTTTTCCAGCTACCTGCAGGATGAAATATATTTTACACTGCACCCAAGTCATATTTGAAGGGGATGCTGAACCAAAAATTGGAAATTCTGGGGAATTGCTTTTTTGGACTACAACTTCCAGAATCCCTTAGTCAGCATGGCCATAATAGCAAAAAAGCAAAGCAGCTTATTTATATACCGCTTCATATCACGCTATGGGATGTCTAAGCGGTTTACAACTGTGAGCTAATAGGAGACAAGCCAGGCGTCTGTTCAAGGCAAGTTCCAAGGCAACCTATAGCATGCAATATTAATTCTTTTAAAGTGATTCTTTGAGCACATGGAAAAGTATGGTGGAAATAAATGATCAGTGTAATATTTCTAGGAATTATCTCATCAACACTGCCCAATGGGGATTTGGGAAACCAGGCTTATTCCCAGCAATGTTTGTGAATGAACCATTCCAACGTTACATTTCCAAGCACATGTGCCCTTAAACTTTTAAAAAGCATTTTGATAGTGACAACGCTTACATTGGAATTACCCCATCAGCTCTTTGTTTTAGAGTGAATTCCTTCTGATAGATTTACCAAGCCTCAGATTCAGATGTCCTTATGGGTCTCCCTTCGGTGCGTTCCAAGTTCTGTAGAAGGAAAAATCAACAGACTGAAAGAATCAATGGAAAATGTTAACTAGGGGCCTTCACAGATGATAGTTTTTCAGCACACTAAAAAATGCACAGACTGCTTGAGTTATTGTGGAGAACTAACCATCTTTCCTCAAAGTTTCACTTGGCAGCTGCAGATAAATCCAGATGTTTTTTCTCAGATGTGGTGCTGGAGAAGAGTGCTGATGATCCTGTGGACAGTCAAAAAGATATAACAAATGGGTCCGAGAGCAGATCAAGCCGGAAACCTCCCTGGAAGCTAAGATGACCAAACTGAGGCTGTTGTACTTTGAACACATCATGAGAAGGAAGGACTCATTGGAAAAGACAATAATGCTGGGGAAGGTGGAGGGAAATAATAATAATAATAATAATAATTTTATTTGTATTTACCGCCTCTCCCTGCGGATCGAAGCGGGATAACAAGTAATATAAAAATACAAAACATAAAATATATAAATCCCATAACAACAATATCCCCCCAACAATAAAACCCCATAATCCCTCTAATTAAAACCAATACCCTATCCAGGGAACCAATAGGTCATCATCTTCACACATCCAGGAGGTCATATTGATAGAACAGTT